CGGTGCCTGTGGCCCAGGGGCTGTGCCCACCGCGAGCCAGGAACCGGCTGCCTTCAGACGTCCCCGTTATCACCGTGGGGAGCGCACGGGGCTGCCCCAGCGCTGGCGGCCCCCGGCACGTCCCCCATGGCAGGACCCTGCCTGACCCTGCTGCCCGCCCGTGGCTCCCCACGGGGGCACAACACCGGGAGCGCCCCGCACACGCAGCCCGTGCAGGGCCGCTCCCAACGGCACAAACGGGTTCGATGCGGAACGGCTCCGTTAGCTCCGCGACGGGAGCGCGGGAAGAGGGCGCGCCAACGCCGCGCCTGACCCCGCCCATTCAGGGGCTGACCACGCCCCCCTCCTTGGTCCAGCCTGAATCGGAGCTGAGCTCTGACCCCAGGGCAGCCAGACCTTCTCCCCCTCTTCCTCAATGAGAAGATCCCAAGGAAAGGAGTGCACCATGGGAACAGAGAATCACAGAATCCCAAGGGTTGGAAGGGACCTCAGAAGATCATCTGGTCCAAACCCCTGCAAGAGCAGGGTAACCTAGAGTACATCCCACAGGAACTTGTCCAGGAGGACCTTGAATATCCCCAATGTAGGGGACTCCACAACCCCCCTGGGCAACCTGTTCCAGTGCTCTCTCACTCTCACAGTAAAGAAGTTTCTCCTGATGTTCACATGGAGCCTCCTATGCTCCAGTTCACACCCATTGCCCCTTGTCCTGTCACTGGACATCACTGAAAAAAACCTAGCTCCATCATCCTGACACTCACCCTTTACATATTTGTAACCATTGATGTGCTCACCCCTCAGTCTCCCCCAAGCTAAAGAGCCCCAGCTCCCTCAGCCTCTCCTCATAAGGGAGATGTTCCACTCCCTTCATCATCTTTGTGGCTCTGCGCTGGATTCTTTCAAGCAATTCCCTGTCCTTCTTGAACTGAGGGGCCCAGAACTGGACACAGTATTCCAGATGCAGCCTCACCAAGGCAGAGTAGAGGGGGAGGAGAACCTCTCTTGCCCTACTAACCACCCTCTTTCTAATGCACCCTAGGATGCCATTGGCCTTCTTGGCCACAAGGGCACATTCCTGGCTCATGGTCATCCTCCTGTCCACCAGCACCCCCAGGTCCCTTTCCCCTTCACTACTGTCCAGCAGGTCAACCCCCAGCCTGTACCGGTACATGGGGTTGTTCTTCCCCAGATGCCAGACTCTACACTTGCCCTTGTTGAATTGCATCAAGTTTCTCCCCCTCCAACTCTCCAGCCTGTCCAGGTCTCGCTGAATGGCAGCACAGCCTTCTGCTGTGTCAGCCACTCCTCCCAGTTCAGTGTCATCAGCGAACCTGCTGAGGGTACACTCAGTTCCCTCATCCAGGGCGCTGAGGAAAATATTAAACAGCCCTGGTCCCAGCACCGACCCCTGAGGTGCTCCACTGGTCACAGACCTCCAGCTAGATTCTGCCCATTGACCACAACTCTGCCTTCTTCCCTTCAACCAGCTCTTGATCCACCTCACTGCCTGATCGTCAAGCCCACACTTCCTTAGCTTATCTATGAGGATGCTGTGGGAGACAGTATCAAATGCCTTACTGAAATCAAGAGAAACCACATCTACCGCTCTACCATCATCCATCCATCGTTACTCCCTCATAGAAGGCTATAAGGTTGCTCAAACATGACTTCCCCTGGTAAAACCATGTTGACTGCTCTTAATGACCCCCTCATCCTTGGTATGTCTAGACATGGTGTCAAGAATAAGATGTTCCATCACCTTTCCAGGGATGGAGCTAAGGCTGACCGGTCTTCAATTACCCGGCTCCTCCTTCTTGCCCTTCTTACAGACTGGCATGACACTTGCCACCCTCCAATCCTCAGGCCCCTCTCCTCCTTCCCACGACTTACCAAAGATGATGGAGAGTGGCTGAGCAATGACCTCCGCCAGCTCCCTCAGCACCCATGGGTGTATTCCATCCAGACCCATTGATTTATAGATGTCCAGACTGCTTAACTGATCCCTACCCCAATCCTCATCTACCAAAGCAAACTCCTCCTTTGTCCTGGCTCCTGCTGGGGCTACAGGAATCTTGGGCCCCAGGGGAGAGTCTGCAGGAGTAAAGACACAGGCAAAGAAGGCATTCAGCACCTCTGCCTTCCTTAAATCCTCTGTCTCCAGGGCACCCACCTCGTTCAGCAGTGGGCCTCTATTGCCTCTTGTGTTAGTTTTATCCCATATGTATTTGAAGAAGCCCTTTCTATTGTCCTTAACCCGACTTGCAAGGTTAAGTTCCAAGGAGGCCTTAGCTCTCCTAATTGCCTCCCCACATCCTCTAGCAACTGTTCTATCTTCCTCCCAAGTGGCCAGCCCCTCCTTCCATAATCCATATTCTCTTTTTCCACATGAGTTTGCCCAGCAATTCCTTGTTTAACCATGCTGGTCTCCTGGCTCCCTTACTTGATTTCCTACCCATTGGGACACTCTGATCCTGAGCTTGAAGAAGTGGTCCTTAAATGCTGACCAACTATCTTGAGCCCCTTTACCACCTAATACCCTTTCCCATGAAACTTCCCTTAGCAACTGATTGAAGAGGCCAATGTTGGCCCTTTGGAAATCTAGAACTGTGGCCTTGCTAGGTATTCTATTCCTCCCACACAGGATCCTAAACTCCACCATCTCATGGTCACTGCAGCCAAGGCTGCCATTGACCATCACCACTTCAACCAGACCCTCCTTGTTGGTGAGTACTGGATCCAGCAGCGCTCCTCTCCTTGCTGGTTTGTCCACCATTTGCATGAAGAAGTTATCAGTGCACTGGAGGAACCTCCTAGACTGTGAATGATTGGCTGTGTGAGTCTGCCAGCAAATATCGGGGTAGTTAAAATCCCCCATGAGGACCAAGGCTTCACCCACCTGCACCTCCAGGAGTTCTTTGCAGCCATGCTCTATGTGCTGGAGGACAACGTGGAGCTGGTTGGTGACTCAAGGGATATCTCAAAGGATGTAAAGGTGTTGCTAGAAAGCTACAGCGAGTCCAGGGAGGAGCTGAAGGTCACAGTGAGGTTCCTGTGCGGTTTGGTGAGCCAAGGATGCAGAGAGTACATGGACAACACCATCGGGTGCAGAACCTCAGCACGAGCCAAGGAGGAGCTGCTGAGGTGGCTGCAGGGGAGGCACGGAGGCACCTCCCAGCCTGGCCAAGGGGTGAAGCTGGCCCGGTTGGACACGTTCCACTTCTTGTTTGAGATGAACGATGAGAGCTTCGCACAAAGGGCGCTGGGGGCTTTACTGATGTGGAGCTGCAGGACACGAAGCTGACCCTGTACGACCAAATGGCTCTTGCCTTCTGCATCAGGCACTGGCCTGGGCTGGGCTCTGTCACCCTCCGGGGATGCTCCTTCCACCAACAGGACCCCAAGTCCAAGGCGGCAGCATCAGTGCCCCGGAAATACTGCTCCAGAGACCCAAAATCCCAGAGATTCCTCCTTTCCCACCCCAAAGGATGCTTCTAAAAGCTCTTGAGCTCCTTGTCCTCAAACACCTTGTCCTTTGCTGGGGTTTAGCTCCTCCCACCAAAACTTGTCCTTTCGTGGATTCATAGATGAGTTTGGGTTGGAAGGGACCTTCAAAGCTCATCCAGTCCAACCCCTGCCACGAGCAGGGACATCTTCATCTAGATCAGGTTGTCCAGAACCACATCCAGCCTGGCCTGGAATGCCTCCAGGAATGGAGATGGAGCATCTTAGCCTTAACAAACCCATCTGTGCCCAGGGGCTCATCTGGCTTCACGTCCCCCTGCTTGCATGCAAAGAGCAGAGCCCCGATGAGGAAACTTTAAGCGCACCCCAAGCTCTGCTCGTGCTCCTTTGTGCCTCCAAAGCCACGGGGGTCCCTCCCAAGAGCTGGTGCCAAGCTCTGCTGTGCCGGTGCCAAATCCAGGCGCTCCTGGTGAAAGCCACCCGTGGCTCTGTGCCCTGCAGCTCTGGTCCCTCGGATGCCGGAGCACAGCCCGGTCCCATGGCTCAGCAGCAGCCCCAGGAGCTGCATTCCCCCATGGATGTGCTCTGCCGGGCGCTGCGGCACCCTGGTAGTGACCTGTGGGTGCTCCGGTAAGAGGCTGAGCTGGGGTGGGTGGGTGCTGGAGGGGAGCAGATGGGTGCTGCTCTAGGGTGGATAAGAGGGAGCTATAGGGTGAGGCCAGGCTTTCATTGGCCATGGGAGGGGTGGTCCCTCCATGCTGATTGGCTGTGGGGTGAAAGGGTGGGGTCCCTCCATGGTGATTGGCTGGGGAGTGAGAGGGTGGGATCGCCCCATGGTGATTGGCCCTGCAATGGGTGGGTGAGGTCCCTCATGATGATTGGCTGTGCTAAGGGTGGATGTGTGCTCTCCATGCTGATTGGTCGTGAGGTGCCTTGAGGCTGATTGCCTGGGAAGGGGGGTGTGGGAAGGTGGGGACACTCCATGCTGATTGGCTGTGCTTAGAGTGAGAGTGTTCCCTCCATGCTGATTGGCCAGGTGGTGGGTTGGTGTGTTCCTTTGAGGCTGATTGGCACCCAGAGGCATCCCTGAGCATCCCCGTGGGAAGTACTGGCATCCCTGAATATCCCCCAGGTACCCACGGGCATCCCATAGCATCCCCTCAGCACCCCCGGGCATCCCTGGGCATTCCCCCAACATCCCTGAGCATCCCCCCGGTACCCTCTGGCATTCTCCAGCACCCAGAGCATCCCCCTGGCATCCCTGAGCGTCCCTTTGGGCACCCACAGACATCCCATAGCAACCCCCAGCACCCCTGTCCATCCCTGAGCATCCCCCTGGCATCTCTGAGCACCCTCCTGGCACCCCACAGCATCCCTGGGCATTTCCCAGGCAGCCAAAGCCCTGGGGCGGATGGGAGCACTGCAATGGTACCCAAAGGAGCCCCCTGGGCTGGCCTCATCCCTGTGTCCCGCTCTCTCAGGGCACTGGCTCCGGGTTAGGACCACGGTGGGGTGGCACTGAGGCTCTTTCCCTGCAGTCTGCGCTATTCCCGCCTCAGCAGCGCCTGCTGCAAGGACCTGGCCGCTGTGCTGAGCACCAGCCCCTGCCTGGAGGAGCTGGATTTGTCCTTCAGCGAGGGGCTGCGGGACGCGGGTGCGGAGCTGCTGTGCGAGGGGCTGCGGCCCCGTTCCTGCCGCCTGCGGACGCTGCGGTAAGAGGCGGCCCGGTCCCAGGCGCAGCGGCTCCGCGGGTCCCGCCGCACATCCCTGTTCCCGCATCCCGCAGGCTGGGGAGCTGCCGCCTGACGGGCGCCTGCTGCCGAGCGCTGCCTGCGGGGACGCCTCCCCTCACCTGCCTGGACCTGAGCGACAACGAGCTGGGAGCAGACGGGGTCCTGCAGCTCTGCCGCCAGCTCCGGAGCCCCTCCTGCCCGCTGCGGGCCCTGGGGTAAGGGGCTGGCTGTGCCCTTGCGCCCCTGTGCGAGTGCCGAGGGCTCAGGGAGGGACAGGAGGGGCATGGAACCACGCAAGGAAGGAAGGGTTTGGGTTGAAGGGACCTGAAAGCTCCTCCAGCTCCAACCCCAGCCCCTTCCACTGGAGCAGCTTGCTCCAAGCCCCTGTGTCCAACCTGGCCTTGAGCACTGCCAGGGATGGGGCAGCCACAGCTTCTCTGGGCACCCTGTGCCAGCGCCTCAGCACCCTCACAGGGAAGAGCTTCTGCCTAAGAGCTCAGCTCAGTCTCCCCTCGGGCAGGTTCAAGCCATTCCCCTTGGCCTGGCCCTCCAGGCCCTTGTCCCAAGCCCCTCTCCACGTTCCCTGCAGCCCCTTTGGGCACTGGACCTGCTCTCAGGTCTCCCTGAGCCCCCCCAGCTCAAGCCGGGGGTGATCCCACAGCTCTCTCCTCCCTCTGTTCCAGGCTGAGCACGGCCGGGCTGCCCCAGGACGCGCTGCAGGCCCTGGCTGCCCTGCGGGCGCTGAAGCCCGGCCTCAAGGTCGGGGACCTCCTGGAGCAGGAGGCGCCGCAGACGGGGGCCATGGCCCGGCTCCGCTTCCAGCGCGGGTCCCTGCCGGGCAGGAGGGGGCCCCCCTCGCTCCGCACAGGAGCGCTCCTCTAGGAGAGCCCTTGCAGCAACCGCAGCCGTTCCCAGCGCAGGGCTCGGGGACCTGGGGGGAACCCGCTCTGGCTCTGAGCCTGCCCCAAGCATGGGGGCGCAGGGGAGGAGCTGCTGCCTGCAGCCTGCATCCTGCATCCGCTGGGATCGGGGCAGAACCGCTCCACGTCCTTCCCTCTCCCGTTTCCCCAGCTGTGGGGAGCAGATCCATAGAGATCTCTATAGACCCCATCTATTGCTGGGAACACGCGTGTTGGTGTTGCTGGATGCCAAATAAAGGCGCTGGGGCCCTTATTCCCTTTTCTTCCTCCGCCCTTCTCCCTGTCCCAGTCACACCCAGGGACCCATCTGTAGGTCCAGCTCCTGCCGCACATCCCCAAGGGATGGTTGATGTCCCCGGGAGCAAGGTGCCAGCCTGGAAGTGAGTCTCCAGCCAGCTTGGGAGTTTTAATAGGGAAAACCATGGGAATTCACGGTGAAACTAAACCCAGATCCCTGCAGCGCTGCTGCAAGAGGGACACCGGAGCTGCTGTGCTGTGGTCCTGGGCACGGAGAGGTGACCTCCATGGCCGGGGCCACCCGTCCTTGGGGACAGAGCCCCAGCACCCGCACTTGTGTCCCCGTGGCCTCGTGTGCTGCGGCCACAGCATCCTCACAGCAATGTCCCCAAGGTGCCAACGTCAGCATCATCGTAGCCTGTGTCCCCTGGGGGCTGCTCCGGGGGGTCCCCTGTGCCCCCTGGGGGGGGACGGCTCCCACCTTGGGGGCAGCAGAGGCTGGTGCCTTAGTGGGGGCCGCTAAACCCCATCTGGGTCTTGCTGCAGCCCCATGGATTTGCTGCTGCTCCCCCCCAGCCACCACAGCCAAGCCCCCCCGAGGTGGCTCTGCAGGGCACAGGGACACTCACCTGCATGTGCCACCCCCTCGGGGGTGTCCCCAGTGCCAAGGGACTCCTCTGGCACAGCCTCGGCATCATCGTAGCCATCGGGGGGTCCGTCCTCAGGCAGGGCAGGGGAGCCTGGGGCAGCGATGGGGAGGGGATGGGGGTGACCCGGAGGCCGTGGCAGGGCTCTGCCTGTGTCACCCCCCTCCATCCACAGCACCAGGGGTGTCCGGGAGGCGCTGGGGCTGCTCATCCAGAGCCACAGCTGAGCTGGGCTCATCCAGGCCAGGGGACCCCGTGTCCCATTCGCTCCCCAATCCTAAGGGGGTCCCCGCTGGGATCCTGTCCCCATGTCCCTACCTGGGGCTGCGCCGGGGTCACTCTCCTCCACATCCTCTGCAGTGTAATAGGGCAGCTTCGTCTCTGAGCCCTCTGTTGGGGAGCCTGGTGGGGAGAGGGCACAGTGGGACAGGGGACACCCACACGCCACGGGATGAGCCGCAGCCACACCGCCAGGAGCCAGGGCTGTGGCGGGGCCGTGGGGCAGAGCTACCCCAGTACGGGCACACGTGCACCAACCTGGGCGACTGGGCACCTTCTGGTACTCCGGCATCCCGGTGTAGTCCAGCTCCTCATAGACAGCATCCAGGGCTCTGCCAGGCTCTGGAATAACAGCAGCAGCGCTCAGCAGGAGCAGCGGGGTCACCAATGACCCCCTCTGAGCCCCGGGACCCCCAAAGCAGCTCTGCGCCGCAGCACCCACCTCGTGGCCCAGCCCAGGCCCGGTACATCTGCAGAGCCAGGGCAGCGAGCGCCAGGCACAGCAGCACCCCCAGCACCGCGCACAGCACCGTGGGCACCGGCACCGGCCCCGTGGCTGGCCGCGGGGTGCTGGCCCTGGGGACACCTGCGGGGCCATGGGAGGAGCAAGGTGAAGCGAGGCCGTGGAGCGCGGCCGGCCCGGCGCAGGCCTCAGCATCAGAGCTACCTGTGAGCGTGGGGCTCCCTGGGGACGGGCTGAGCATCCCCTCGGCGCCGTCCTCAGCGCACACCACATGCGCGTCCCCGCCGGGCCCGCACGGCTGCAGGCGCCAGGGAGCCGAGGGGCAGCGCCACAGCGAGCGGGCCCCGTCCTCGCAGCGCACCCAGGCGAGCCAGGCGGGGGCCGGGAGCGGGGCAGCGCCGGCCCCGAGGCTGCCCCCGTCCCCGCAGCCCAGCTGCCTGCAGGCGGCGGCGGCCGTGGCCGGGCTGGTGCCGTCGGCGCACACGCGGCCCCACGTCCCGTTGTAGAGGAGCTCCAAGTGCCCGCTGCAGCGGCCGCTGCCGCCCGCCAGCCGCACGGAGAGCTGCCCTAGCCGCGGGGGGCAAGGCGGGGGTCACCGCACGGCTCCGGCTGCGCGCCCCCGCCCTGCCCGTGCCCGTGCCCGTGGCCGTGGCCGCCACTGACCTGAGCACACGGCGCCGGCCCCGCCGCCGAGCCGGCAGCCGCGCTGCGCTGGGGCCGGGCAATCCCAAAGGGACGCCTCGCTGCCGGCGCAGCCACCGGCACCCGCCCACGGCGGGGCCGCCCCGGGGCCGAAGCGAGCGGAGCCGGGCGCGTCCAGCGCTGCCCCGCAGCCCAGCTGCCGGCACACGACGGCGGCGTCCGGGATGTCCCACGCGTCCTGGCACACGGGGCTCCAAGCGCCCTCAACGTAGAGCTCCACACGCCCGGCACAGCGCCCAGGGCCCCCCGCCAGCCTCAGCCGCCGGCTGCCTGCGGGGCACGGACGGGATGCACCGGGGCTGCTGCCTGCGGGGCCCCCACCGCCCGGCCCATAGCGGGGCACTCACTCCCTCACTCCCTCACTCACCGGAGCACACAAGAGCCAGAGCCTCGCCAGCGCCGCTCCCAGCACTGGCCCTGCCCGAGACGTTGCACTGCGCCAGGGCGTCCTCGCTGCCCGCGCACTGCACCTCCTGCAGCCCCACGCCGCCGGGGCCCGCCACGGGGTACACCCGCTCCAGCTCGCCGCAGCCCAGCTCCCGGCACGCCACGGTGGCCGCCTGGGGGGCCCGGAGCCCCGCGGACACAGCGGCCCAGCTGCCCGGGCTCGTGGGGACCTCCAGCCGCCCCTCGCACCGGCTCTGCCCCTCCAGCAGCCGCAGGGGCTCGGCAGCGCCTGCAGGATCCACCCGAGAAGCTGGGGCTGCCCCATCCCTGGCAGTGCTCGAGGCCAGCTTGGACACGGGGGCTGGGAGCAAGCTGCTCCAGTGGAAGGGGTTGGGACCCGATGGGGTTTTAGCACAGGGTCCCGGGGCGATGCTGGGCCCCAGCTCAGGCCCCCTTCACCCCAAAGGACCCCGCATCCTCCATTCCCAGTGCTTGAGGGGTCCCCACAGCCCCACGAGGCTCTTCCCCCCCGGGTCCCGCACGCACCTGAGCACTCGACCGCAGCAGCGTGCCCGGGGGGGCAGCTTGGCTCCCCCAGCACCGCCACGGGGCACTGGCCTGGGTGCTGCTCGCTGCCGCTGCAGCCAAAGGCATCCACGCGCAGGGTCCCGTTCCCGCTGCCGAAGGAGCCTCCCGGGAGCACGGCGCTGGCAGGGCCGCAGCCCAGGTGGTGGCAGAGGACATGGGCATCGGGCAGGTCCCAGGCGCTGGCGCAGAGGGACCCCCACGTCCCCCCTGCCATCACCTCCACCCGCCCGGCGCAGCGCGAGCTGTGGTTCGCCAGCCGGAAGCCGCTGTAGGCTGGGGCACAAAGGGGGTTGGGGGGTGACAATGGCGCAGGGGGACCCCCAGCACCCCCCGCTGGCCCCGCTGCTTACACGAGCAGACGATGCTGGCGTGGCCGCTGCAGGCCTGGGCGCTCCGTGCCCGCTGCCTGCAGGCGCTCAGGAGGAGCTCGCTGCCGCTGCACTCGAATCCTGCGTCCCATTGCGGCTCCGATGCCGCCGGGAACAGGCCGGCCCCGGGCACAGCCAGCACCGAGCCGCAGCCCAGCTCCCGGCACACGACCTGGGCAGCCTTCAGCTCCACAGCATCCTCACAGAGCCCGGCCCACGCTCGGCCCTGCCGCACCTCCAGCCGCCCCGCGCAGGGGCCATCGCCACCAACCAGCCGGGAGAAGCCTGCGGGGAGAGGCCCCGCGGCGGTGCTCAGGGATCGGAGCAGCCCTGACGGGAAGGACTTGGGCTGCTGCCTGAGGAGCAGCTCCCCACGACCCGGCTTCAGGGAGCGCTTGAGACCAGAACCCCCCCGGCTCCGTGTGCTGGGCTGCACCCCCAGAGCGTGAGCAGCAGCTCCGGGAGGGGATCCTGCCCCTCTGCTGCGGGAACGGGAGACCCCCCCTGCAGCGCTGGGTGCAGAGCTGGGGTCCTCAGCATAAGAAGGCCATGGAGACGTTGGGGCAAGGGTGGAGGAGAGGCCACGAGGATGCTCAGGGGCTGGAGCAGCTCCTGCATGGAGCCAGGCTGGGAACACTGGGGCTGCATGGAGAGCTCAGAGCAGCTTCCAGTGTCTGAAGGGGGCTACAAGGATGCTGGAGAGGGACTATTCATCAGGGACTGCAGCAATAGGAAAAGGGGTGATGGGTTCAAACTGGAGATAAAGCAGAAGCTCTTCCCTGTGAGGGTGCTGAGGCGCTGGCACAGGGTGCCCAGAGAAGCTGTGGCTGCCCCATCCCTGGCAGTGCTCAAGGCCAGGTTGCACACAGGGGCTTGGAGCAAGCTGCTCCAGTGGAAGGGGTCCCTGCCCGTGGCAGGGGTTGGAGCTGGATGGGATTTAAGCTCCCTTCAACCCAGTCCTGGGGCTCTGTGCTGTGCCAGCACCAGCTCCCGGCTCCTACCTTGGCAGACGACGGCAGTGTCATAGTCGTGGAAGCCGTCATAGGGCCCCCAGCCCCTCACCTCGCACTCCCAAAGCGCTTTCTCGTGCCCGCGGCAGTTCACCAGCACCATGTTGACAGGGGGGTCACCGCTGCTGTACTTGCTGCCTTTCATGTAGGCCCTGGTGGCCGAGCCGCAGCCCAGCTGCTGGCAAACCACCTCCGCATCCATCATGTCCCACGTGTCGTCCGCCACCGAGCCCCAGCGTCCCCGCAGCTTCAGCTCCACCTTCCCATCGCAGGGACCGCTGCCGCCCGCCAGCCTCAGCTCCAACGCGTCTGCACCACGGCACCGGCCCAGCCTCAGCCATAGCCAGCGCCGCGGCACACGGCCGGTGTCCCGGCACCACCGGCATCCCCCGCCTCACCTGTGCAGGTCACCCCCACATCGCGCTCGTGGCCGCAGAAGTGCTGGCCCCATCCGAAATGGGGACAATCCTGCAGCATCGCCTCGTCGCCGCGGCAGAAGAAGACGTGGAGCCAGATGCGGCCGGTGCCCTGCCCGAACGGAGCGTACGGGGACGACGTGGCCGCCGTGCCACAGCCGAGCTGCCGGCACACCACGGTGGCCCAGTGGGCGTCCCAGTCAAAGTCATAGGTGCAGACGGAGCCCCATTCACCTTCATGCTTCACCTCCACCCTCCCGGCGCAGCGCCCACCACCACCCACCAGCCGCAGCTCATCGGGGCCCTGCACCGTGCTCAGCTCAGCCTGGGGCTCTGCGGTGCTCCGCGGCTGCCCCACGCTGCGACCCACAGGAGAGCCCCCAGCACCCTCACAGGCACCATCTCGCACACCAGGACCCCCCCCTCTGCCTCCTGGGTCGGGCTGGGTGATTTATAGGCAGCGCCGCAGCCAATGGAGGCAGCAGCACCTTCTGAGCCCGTTATCAGTTGGGTTATCTCCCATGTGGGGAGGCCTCGGGCTCCAATAACCTGCTCCGTGCCCAAATATGAGGCTCAGCTCCGCTTCTGGCGTCACACACCTTGCCGGGGGGGGTCTGAGCCCGGATGCCCCCAGTCTGAACCCCCCATAGGCGCTGCAACAGGGTGCTCAGACTCATCCTGTATCCCCTCATGGCACTGACCCTGCTGCGGCGCCTGCCAAGAGCCCAATGGCAACAGGATTCACCCCAAAACCTACCCAAACCCCCACAGGGCCGCTCTTAGCACCAGCACGGAGCAAAACCCAAGGAGCCCGGGCACAGCAGCACCCATCCTTGGGGTGCTCCCCTCCATAGGGTGCCTGCAGACCCGGAGTGGGGGGGCCCTGAGGTGGCAGCAGCCCCCCCCGCCTCACCGCGGTGCCTGCAGGTGGCCCATGGCGGTGCCGGCAGCTGTGGCAGGCAGGAAGGAGGCGGTTTCCCCCCTGCAAGCAGGGACCCGCTGTCGGCATCGACCACACGCAGCTCCCCAGCCACCTGCGGAGCTCCCGATAACGCCGCAGCGGCACCTGCCTGCGCTGATGACGCCCAGAGGGGCACGGAGCCCATCCGCAGCCGCTGGGGACCCACCGGGCCAAGCCGGGAGCAGCAGCAACACCCGACGGGGGCAGGAGGTGCAAGGAGCAGGAGCGAGCTCCAGGGCTCGCTTGAGCCGGGCTTCACCTGGCGGACTCCATCAGCGCTGAGCAGCGCCGGCGGCCACAGGGGAAATGAATGGAGAGGCTGCGGAGGCAGCTTCCCCTTGAAGAGCTGCTGATGGCAAAGGCACCGACGTGCTGGAACAGGGGTGAGCCAGGGCACATAGGAAACACGGGGGGCCGAGAGGCCCCTTGCAGCGGTGCCTGTGGCCCAGGGGCTGTGCCCACCGCGTGCCAGGAACCGGCTGCCTTCAGACGTCCCCGTTATCACCGTGGGGAGCGCACGGGGCTGCCCCAGCGCTGGCGGCCCCCGGCACGTCCCCCATGGCAGGACCCTGCCTGACCCTGCTGCCCGCCCGTGGCTCCCCACGGGGGCACAACACCGGGAGCGCCCCGCACACGCAGCCCGTGCAGGGCCGCTCCCAACGGCACAAACGGGTTCGATGCGGAACGGCTCCGTTAGCTCCGCGAAGGGAGCGCGGGAAGAGGGCGCGCCAACGCCGCGCCTGGCCACGCCCATTGAGGGGCTGACCACGCCCACTGCCCGCTCCACCGCCCCCCGCAGCGCCCCCGCAGCGCCCCCCCCGCGCCAGCAGGGGGCGCGTCCACGTCTCTCCGGAAAGAGCCGAGCGGCGGCGGAGGAGGCCGAGGCGAGGCCGGGCCGAGGCGGGGCGCAGGGCTGGGCCGATGGCGCAGGAGGTCGAGCGGCTGCGGGCGGACGGCGTGGACAAGGAGGTGCTGCGGGAGGGCGCGGGGCCGCTGCCCGACTTCCGCGACGGCACCAAGGTCAGAGCCGCGCCGCCGCCTTCGGGTTGGGGGGGGACAGAGACGGGAGGAAAGGTTGAGGTACGCATGCGCGGTTCCGTCATGTTGCCATGGCGACGGCCGCGGCCTACTCGGGCCTGAGCGTTTCCGCTATCTCCTTCAGGCCACTTTCCACTACCGGACGCTGCGGTGCGGCGATGAGGAGCCGCCGCTGGACAGCAGCCGGGAGCACGGGAAGCCCATGGAGCTCATCGCCGGAAAGAAGTTCAAGCTGCCGGTGTGGGAGGCGGCGCTGCGCACCATGAGGCCTGGCGAGCGCGCCCGCTTCCGCTGTGACGCCAAGGTGGGGAGGGGGCGTGGCTTGGGCTGCCTTGGAGGCGTGGTCAGATCGGAGGGGCGTGGTTTTCCTCTGGCTGGACCACGGGTTCGATTCCCGGCGTTGTCCCGGTTGCCCCCCACCCCATTCCCGGTGCATTCCCGGCCCAGCGCCGCCTCTCCCGCTTGCCCCGCAGCACGTGGTGCTCTACCCGATGGTGTCCAAGAGCCTACGGAACATCGCGGCGGGGAAGGACCCTCTGGAAGGGCAGCAGCACTGCTGCAGCCTGGCCCAGCTGCACAACCACTGCTCCCTGGGCTACCCCGACCTCGATGAGCTCCAGAAGAACCCCCAGCCCCTCATCTTCGACATCGAACTGCTCAAGGTGAGGCACCCGCTTGTGGGGGGGGGGTCCCCAGCAGCGCTGCCCCCGGTGGAGGCTGCGGGTGGGAGCGTGCTGGGGCTGTGCCCTCAATGCTGGGGTGCTGGCAGGTGGAGCCACCCGGCTCCTACCAGCAGGACCCGTGGGCCATGACGGATGAGGAGAAGCTGCAGGCTGTACCCCAGATCCACAAGGAAGGCAATGAGCTGTACCGGCAGGGCAAGGTGCAGGAGGCAGCTGCCAAGTACTACGATGCCATCGCCTGCCTCAAGAACCTGCAGATGAAGGTGGGTCTCCCGCATCCCTCCTGGATGTCACAAGGAGCGGTTGGGAGCTTCTCACTCTCCCTCCTCCATCGCATCCTCCAGGAGCAGCCTGGATCTCCAGACTGGATTGAGCTGGACCAGAAGATCACCCCCTTGCTGTTAAACTATTGCCAGTGCAAGCTACAGTGTGAGGAGTACTACGAGGTGCTGGATCATTGCTCTTCCATTCTCAACAAGTATGAGGGTAAGGAGCCATGGGCGAGGGGTGAACCAGCCCGTTGCCCCCTTCCCCTTGCTCCATTAACCCATCCTCTCTCTCCCCAAAGACAACGTCAAGGCCTACTTCAAGCGGGCGAAGGCGCACGCCGCGGTGTGGAACGTGGCGGAGGCCCAGGCTGACTTTGCCAAAGTGCTGGCCCTCGACCCCTCCCTGCGCCCCGTGGTCTCCAAGCAGCTCAAGAGCCTGGAAGCGCGCCTGCGGGAGAAGGATGCCGAGGACAAGATCCGCTTCAAGGGCATCTTCTCGCAGTGAAGCCCGCGCCGCAGAGCCCGCAGGTTCCTTTAGGTATTCCACATGTGGAATGTTCATGGATGTTTATTAATGTTTAATACAGATCTTTACTTATTGGAAGTCAGGCGGAGGGGCCCCGGAGCTCACCCGTGGCCCAGCAGTGCACTTCGGGGCAGTATCAAGCAGCGTAAAGCACTGGCAGCACACAGTGGAGGTGCCGAGTGTGCTCACCGCCACGCCAGGAATGCCATGTGGGGTGACACAAGCTGAAGCCAGCTGCATCATTTTAGCCTGCCTTTGATGGTTTTATACTTTACGAGCTGTTGCTGGCTGCGGCGCCAAGCCTTGGCCCCAGCTCCCCCCCCTTTGTGCCTGTATATCCTGTGTTGTCACTTCCCAAGGCTGCTGCTAGCATCCCCAGCCGGTGTTTCCTCTCTGCTGGATCATCGGGTCAGCGGCGTAAATGTTTTATATAGGATAAGTGCTTGTTACTGCTATCTATAGCTATCTATAACTCTGGTTGTGCTGTGCCAAAATGAAGTAAAAGCTATAGCCACAGGTCCCTGGGTACTTAGGAAAGTCGCTGGTAGAGGTAAAAGGGGTAAAACAAAGCTGCAGGTCAGGGGGAGGCAGCCTGGCAAGCCCTTGCAGACTCACTGCAATGCTGAGCCCTTACTTAAGGGCTTCCCCATCGTGGATGTGTAATAGGGGCAGAGGCAGCGGTGTAAAGGCAGCTCTGACACCCACAGAGGCTGGGGTGGTGCCTGTCCCCCACTCTGCAGGAGCTCAAAGCTGAGCCTGTGCTGCTGCAGCACCCCAAGCCCCATGGGTCCTCACCCCCGTTTCCTCCTCCTGTCCCCACAGCCCCATCCCTGCTCTACCAGCCCAACCCTCCTCTTGTGCAAGAGGTTTAACCACCCGTGACCTGCAGCTTGTTGGCATCAGCACCTACCCCAGGCTGCCTTTCCCTGCCCCACATTGCTCATGACCCAAGTGCTGTGCTGCAGGACGCGTGTGACACCGTGGCCCCAGGTCAGAGGCTTGTGGGTAGAAGTCCTGGTGCCAGCTATGGCTGGGGGGGGACACAACAGGGCAGACGTGAGGGCTGCAGCTCCTCTTTACATTGCTTTATTACACACCAGGACGGACGGGAACAGAGGCAGCGCTTCCGAAGCCCGGCCCTGTGGCACCCAATGGAAATAAATAAGAGGGAAGCAGGGAAGTGCCGCTCGCCTTGGGGCCCCTCAGTGCTGCCCAGGGACCCATGGCCCTGCAGGGCCTTACTGCAGCTCCCCAGGGGACAAACCCCACTGGGCACTGCCCAGCAGCAGCTCTGCAGCCCCGCAGGAGGGGGGAGCTGGGGTGGCTCAGTCCCAAGGGGATCACTGCAGCCCTCAGAGCACCACCTCCCAGGACCCCTTGGTGCATGGGGCCCAGTGCCCTCATCTCCATCCCATGGGCTCGGTGCCCATCGCAGGCTCTGGCCCCGGTTGCCCCTTGCTGGCTGCAGGGGAGCGGTGCTGGGGCCACCCTCACTCCTCATCCTCCAGCTTGAGGCTGACGCTGCGGGGCTTGGCCCTGGGCAGCCCTGGGGCTGCTGCTGAAGGCCCTGCCCCGTCCCACTCGGCCTGGCTGGAGCCCCGCGACCGCAGGAGCTGGTTCTGCTTGCGGAGGACGTCGACGGGTGCCAGGCAGCCGTAGGTGCCTTTACCCAGCGTGGGCCGCGAGGGGCCCTTGGGTAAGTGGGCCTGGGCTGCTGCCTCGAGCTGGGCAAGGTGGGCTGCGTAGCCCTCAGACACGAACTGCGGGGGACACAGACATGGCCAAGCTCCCTCTGGGGCTCAGCAATTGGCCCCTGCAGCTCAGGCCCGGCCCCAGCCCCACCACCGTACCTGGCACTGGTTGGTGAACTTCTTGATGGCCCGGCCCACGATGTAGATGCTCGTCGGTGGGAGCCCCAGGGAGCTGTAGACGGAGATGTCCTTGGTGGAGCCGTAGCCAGCGATGATGTTGATCTCTGCCTGCCCATGGAGAAGAGGACGGCAGCGTTAGGGCAAGGACCAACCCTTCCCACAGGGACAGCCCTTGTTTTATGGGATAGATGCAACACCCACAGGCTGGGATCTCCCCTTTGTGCCGGGGAGCTGGTGCCAGCTCCATCACGGTTGAGCTCCGAGCATCCCCACACTGCCCCAGCGCCAGCCCCGTGCCCAGGGGTGTCCCTGTGCCCACCTCGGTGTGCAGGCTCTGGAGGAAGGCGGTTTTCTGGCGCAGGGGGTCGTGGGTGAGCCCGTCACAGAAGGACACGGAGCCATAGGGGAAGTTGTGCTGGGAGAGCCAGGCCACCACGCGGTGCTTCTGCATGTCCGGGCGCCCCGTCACGTAGATGATCATGAAGCCCAAGTCCTGCCAGTGCCTAGGAGGGGACGCACGCTGCTGCTAGGAGCCCGTGTGGGGATGCTCCTGCACCCACCAGCACAGCACCCATGGGTGCTACCTCCACAACCCTCCTCCTCCCAGTGGGTTAATGGAGGCAGAGCTGCGGGTACCACAGCAGGCTTCAAGGACCATACCCAGGAGAGGACTCTTTACCCACAGGAAGGCATCAGCACAGGGATGCTGCGCAAAGTGGGTGCTAGGAGCTCCTCCCTAGGACATCAGCCTGCTCTGATGCCCCCACGCCCCCAGTTTTCTTGTCACCTCACCATGAAAGGAGGGGAGAACATCCCCTCGGTGTGAAGGGCACCTACCGCACTACATCCACAGCCCCTGCCCGCACTTTGGGGTCATTGCCCATGATGGAGACGCTGGCGGCGAAGGAGCCATCGATGCTGAACACGATGCACTCGGTGCCGGGGGCCACCACGGTGAGGTACGCCTCGGCGAAGCTGTGGTCCCCCCTGGGGTGGGCGAGTGGCAAGGGCTCAGCTCCAGCTGTGGCCAAAGGGCTGCAGGGGGAGCCGAGGTGGCTCCAGGCACCCGCTGCTCACCTCACCACCATGCGCACGGGGTAGATGCCGATGGCCAGAGCTTTGTCTGCAGGGATGGTGAAGGTCAGGCGCCCGCTGCCGCTCGTCACCTCGGTGCCGTAGTACATCCACTTCCCCGACAGCGGCTGTGTCATGACGTAGATGTCCACCTGGAGAGGGAAAAGGGACGAGTCCTGCTGCATCCCCAACCTACACATCCCTACAGAGGGTCCTGGTCCCCACATCCCCTGCTGGGGGGTGACACCGGCCCCGTGCCCTTCCCCATGGTGGCACCCATGAACGCAGCGGTA